ATTTTCAACACTACGACGTATTGTCTTGTGAACTTTTTCTGCTGTTGGTGAATTCGCAAAATCAGTTAATTTTCGTTTACTTTCTTCAACATATTCATGACGACGATCGACAAAATCGCTAATTGATGCACTCAATTGTTCAAAAACAGTAGAAAGATTTGTAGACGTATCTTCTGCTATTGTAGTAGTTTGTTTAATTAAATTACGAAGTAAACTCTCTAACGATGATTTCATACACTGAATATGGAAGAAAACAACGATTACTATTAATAAATATGTATAGTATTATACTTACATCATCTCCTTCAGAACATGTTTCTTTGTCTTTTGAATCTTGTTCTTCAGTTATTTTTAAACGTTGTTCTAACTCGATCATCTGATTTTGTAATCGTTGATTTTCATTAGATAACTATAGCGAAGATTCAAATTGAAAATAAAAACAAATTAAAATTTTTCTTTACTTGTTGAATAGTATTTGTTACATTTTGTTGTGTTATATGTGTAATATGATAAAGTTCATTGATTTGTAAAATCAAAGAATATTTTTCTTGATCATATTCATTCATTTTTTGATGAAGTATATGTTGGAATTTTTCTTCATACTAAACAATTGATACAATATAAATAGTATCAAAATAAATATTGTTATTTTTTTTCTAACCTGTTTCATTAATTTTTGTTCAATATCTTCTAATGAGAGAATTTTTATTTCATTTAAACGTTGATTTGTTTTCTGTAAATCTTGAGTAATTTTATTAATTATTAATCGTTCTATATACAAAGTCAAAATATTAGCGAATTATTTACAAAGACTAGAAAATTATACGTGTTGTAATATATCGACAAAGAATCACCGGTAAAACAAAAAGCAAAACTAATACTCCGTAAATTAATAATGTATTATTTCGTCTTGGACGATAATCATAAACTGTTGAAGGTCGACGTTCATGTTCAACTATTGATGAATATTGATCATCTATTTTATAGAAAAACAATTTTCAAAATTTTGCTTTAATAATTTATAAAAAATATTAACCTGTTTGTTGAGCATTAGCACCAGTACGTTGACTAGATAAATAAAATTTATGATGTAATTTTCAACAAAAAAAAAATAAGCTTACCGAAGATTATTTGATAGTGAAAGTGATTCATCACTAAATTAAAATAAAAAAATAGATTAATAAAATTAATCCAATCTATACAATACTTTAAATCATATCCATTATTTGATAATTCATATTCATTAATTATTGGACTTGTTTCAATATCAATAATATGTTTTATTGGTAT